TCTCTGGCCTGTAAGTCTGTCCCCTCGAAACTAGGGTGTCTTCAAAAAACACGGGAGGCAGGCAAGGAGTCCAAATTTGAAACCAATTTTCAATGAAGAAGAAGGGGCTTAATGCATAAACATGTATCAGGCAAAGGTGAACCTGATAGAAGAGTCCAAAGAATATTAAAGTCTTGGGCTTAGCTTCTAGTTCCTAGGCAAGTTGAAAATTTTTTTCTTGGATCCATTTTTTTTTTCACATGCAAAATGGGGTTAATTGTGCCTTCATTTAGTGTCTTTGGGAGAATTCATTTTTTGTTTTTAATGTATGGGAAAGCTTCTAACACAGTGCCTACCATAACAAACAGATGTCGGTTTATCATGATTATTTTGAGGGAGGCCCTAATTTGGAGTGAGAGCTCACCTAACCGAACCAGCAAATTCCTGGAAGGTACAGCACTGCTACAGAGTGGAAAGTACTCCATGATTCTGCTCCGCATAAACTTTAACAAAAGGTTCCCTTGGTCACTCATCTCCAGAGTGCAAAATATTGGCAGTGAAACCTTCTATGAAATCTCAACCAAACCCTTTGGCAAACCTTGCAAATATGTCCTAAAACACAGCTGCTTCTGGGTTTCTGGGTAGCCAATTTCCCTCTTCAGAGATGATCCTCTTCTCCCTTCTTCTCTTCATTTTAGCAGCAGTGAGAATCTCTATGACAAGAAGTTTCAAGCTGAGAAAACCTGGAAGCTGAATTAAACAATTTCAGGTTTTTTTTTTAATGACTCTGCTTAAAAGTTGATGGGATAGGAGGTCCTGCGTATTGGCAGGAGAGAAGGTAAATTTCAGTGCAGGATGATGGCCATCACCTCCCACCCTCAGCTGACTCACCTCGAGGTTACTTCCTTTGTTCCTTGAAGACTTTGGCACCTGGCTCTCCAAGTGTGGTCATTCTTTTCCCAAACTACCTTTGTCTTCAGGGTTGATTTAAATATTCATTGTCAAGTAATCATTCCAAGGCCTGGTTCTCTCTCTCACTTGCTTTCCTCCACCCTGCCTTGGCCACTCACTCCCATCGTCATACCTTGTGTTAGTCTGTCATGACGAAATGCCACCGAGGAGTTGGCTTAAACAACCGAAATGTATTTTCGCTCAGTCATGCACGTGAGAAATCCAAGATCAATGCCGACAGGTTTGGTGTCCCCTGAAACCGCTGTCCTTGTGCAGATGCCGCCTTCTTGTTGTATTTTCCTATGGTCTCTTCTCTGTGCGCAGGCACCTCTGGTATTTCTTTCGTATGTTCAAATGTCCTCTTCTTGCAAGGGCAGGATTCACACCATCCTATTAGACTCGTTTAACTTGATCACTACTTTAAAGGCCCTGTCTCCAGACACAGTCACATTCTGAGGTGGTAGGGGTTAGGGATTCAACATATGAGCTTTGAGGGGACACAATTCAGCCTATAGCACACTTTTAGGCTGTGTCTTCATCAATTCCTAAAACATCTTAATCTCAAATTCTAGCATCCCACTTTTCCATCACTAACTTCTATCTTTCCTGTTCTTTCTTTCTCTGCCACCCCAAACCAATAAATCTTCAACTACACTGAGACACAATCTACAAGTCCATCTCCTTATATACTGTTCCTCACATTCTCTCATGTCCCTACTACCTCCTTATTCAGATTAAGTCCCACCGTCCATCATCACAATCACTTTCTGACATATATTCTTGATTCCTTTGTCCTTCTCTCTCTTCAAGGTATTTGTCTGTCAAAGTCCGAATCCTGGTTGACTCCAGCGTTCTCACCTCTCTGCCCACACCCCACAGCTGAGCTTCACTAGCAAACACTCAACCACACTGCCTAGTTGCACTGTAAATCCATAACCTCCAGGGGCCTTCAGTGCCTGCAAGCAATCCTGCCACATTCTCTAGACCATTCCCCATCCTACTTTCCTACCAAGTGTTTCATACTGTGTTTGTCTCCAAACCTCCAACGCTCTCTCCCCAACCTCATTTTCACCTGATAAACCTGCTTCCTGTTTCACTGTGAAAACCGAAGCAGTCAGAATTTCCCTCTACCTCCATAGGCTCTGTCTTCCCTTCTAGCTACTAGTACTGAACCGCCCCTGCTGCTATCTAAGGCCAGCTCCTCCTTCTGTGCAATTGCTCCCATCCCTTCTCATTTCCTCAAGGACACCACTTCATCAATTCTCCCCTCTGTCTCTTAGTTATCAATCCTCACCTCACCCCCAAGCACTCCCAATAAGAACATTACCATCTGTGTGTGGACATGCTGTAATTCTTCCCACTAAACGTTTTCCTTGACTCCCACTTTCCCCCCAGCTACTGGCCCATTTCTCTGCTCTCCTTTACAGCAGAACTCTCCAAAAGAGTTGCCTTTTTGCTCTGTTTCCAGCTCCCCTTGTCCTTTTTTCTCATGAGCTCATTGTGGATAGACTGTCATGTCCATCCCACCACTAAAGCCCCTTGTCTAGGTCACTGATGACCTCCACATGCTGAATCCAGCAGGCAGTTCTTGGTGGTTGCATTTGACTTGCTCTACAGGTATTTGACTCAGTTGATCACTTCCTCCTGAACTAGAAACTTGACTTCCATGAGAAACTCTTGGTTTTCTTCTAATTCCCTGGCCGCTTCTCCGTCTCCTTTGCTGTCCCTGCATGTCCCCAGACCAATTCCTTGGTCTGCCCAGGATTTAGTGCTTGGGTCTCTTTTCTATCTACACTCATTCCCATGAAGTTTCATGGCTTTAGTATAATTTATACACTGACAACTCCCATACATTCCATCCCAGACCTCGTCCCTGAACTTCATGTTTATATTTCCAACTGCCTACTTGGCATTTCCACTTGTATTTCTAATAGGTGCATCAAACCTTGGGATATCTGAAACTGACCACCTCATCTTCCCACTCCCATACCGGCTCAACTTGCTGCTGGTTCATTTCAGTGACTGGCAACTTCATTCATCCAGTTGCTCAGGCCTGAAATCACACAGTCATTTTCGACTCCTCTTTTTCTCTCTTACATCCAATCCAATTTGTCACCAAATACTGTTGACTCTATCCTTAAAATATATACAGAATCCAGCCTTTTTTCACCATCTCTGCTACTGTGACTGTCATTGTCTGAGCCCTAATAGTCTCTCGCCTGGATTGTTAAACAACTTCAGAACTTATCTTCATGATTTACAACCTGTTTGCAACACAGCAGGCAGAGTGAGCCTTGCAACGTATCAAGTTATTTTACTACTGAAAACTAATCTCAGATGGGTCTACTGCTCCCCCCACCCTTCACTGGGCTCCTCGCTGTGGTCCCTTCTTCCTGAAGGCTTCTGTCTTTTGCACACTGGCCTTTCTCTCTGCCTCGAATGCTTTTCCCCAAGTCCTCTGCATGGCTCACACCCTCTGCTTCCTTCAGGTTTTTACTCAAATGTCACCTTCTAGTAAGTTCTTCCCTGACCACCCTTTTTGAAATGACATCTTCAACCCCATTCTCTGGTATTCCTGGTTGCCCTTTCCTGATTTATTTTAGCCACACACATCACCATCTGATAGGATAAGCTATGTTTTACTTACATATTTTTTCATTGTTAGTCTTGCCTGCAGTAGAATGAAAGCCCCACAAGGCAAGGATTTTAGACTGTCTTGTTAACTGATCTCTCCCTAGCTGTTACAACAGTGCCTGGCACACAGGAGGTGCTCAACAAATATTCAGCCGAAAGTGTTGCTCTCTGCTTCATCACGAGGTCTCTCATAAATACCATTTTACTTTGCCTCTATGTCCCTGGGAAAAAAATCTAATAACCAGACTTTGGTGATGCACTTTGCTTGAAAAATACCAGAGGAATAAAAGTTACATCCACCAGAGGGCGCCAAAATCTCTTTGGAACCCGTAAGACTGCTAGTTTCTGGGTTGGTTGGTTTGAATCCGAAAGGGGCTCCAAGTACCTCCAATTTTTAAAAAAAGTATAATACAATTTAAAATCATTTATATAAAAATAGATTTTTATTCTCTTGAATTAAAAGTATGGAGTTATACAATATTAATACTTTCTGGAGGGCAATAACAAAATTAAATATTAATATTTCTTCAATCAAAATTTTAAAAGAGTTCATGATACAGAACTCTTTGGGGACTGAGAGGGGCAAGTAAGCAGACTTTACCTCTGATCTCTGTACTATTTTGACAATTATGTTCCTGTAACTGCTTTTTTTGTTATTAATGATGTTTCCTGTTTATTGCCTACTCCTGAATCACCTGACATTGCGCTTTGCATGCATAATCTTTCTTAATCCTCACATTATCCTTCTGGGGAAGGTATCATTTTTTTATTCCTATTTCACAGCTGAGGAAGTTGAGACTTAAGAAAGTTACGTCAAGCAGAGCTCTGACGTTACCAGTAGTAAAAGGGGGCAACAAGGTCAGGCAATCTTTGAATTCTTTACCACCACTCTCTACATCATCTTTAGCATGTTGTCAAAATTCCTTCTCATAATCTTCTTATCTCATCATAATTAGAGGGGATTTGACCCATGCTTCTTTAAATTCAGGGCACCAATTTGAAAGGGGGAATTCTTACATCCTTGTTTCAAACTTGTTACTCATAATGTCTTAACCAAATTAGTCGATGTCTCTTAACTTCATTTTTTATGCAGCCAGAAAGTATGAATGTATTCCTGTCATGATTTTTCAGAGAGGTAGAGAGAACAGACAGGAACTCTGGGAAGGAAAGCTGGACTTGTAACAGTAACTCACCAAGAGGGATGTCTTACTTTTCTTGCACATTAGTCTGTCCCTTTCTTTGTCATTTTTGTGCGCCCTGCAGTTTGAACAATGCTTGGTGAATAGTGGGCACACGTTAAAGAACACTGAGTAAACAAGAGATAAATAAAGCCAGGATATTTGAGCAAACCTGCCACACACCGTGCACTGGCTTACGCTTCTTTGGTAGTTTTCTCTTTTACCTCCTGCCCACTGTTGGATGAAATCTGCTAGACTCAGTTTCAACCCCTACCCCAACTTCCTTCTTAAAACAGGCTCAGGGTTAAGCCTTTAGTACTCTAATCCAGAGGAAAATGACTTATTTTAAAAAGCAGTAAAAACACCGCATTCCTTTGGCACAGGATGAAGACCAGCTCAGCTCTTCGGCTGTTGATCATCGTCTATTGTTCTCCAAACAGTAAACCATTATTTCACATCAAGAGACTGTGGGCTGCAGTCCTGTCTGAGTCCTGGGCTCCTCATAAATATGAAGTGAAGGGCTCTGACCCAGAAAGTGGTAGGTAATTAGAAAAAAAAAAAAGACAGGTAGGGAGAAAACCAGGCTTTATGTAATTCTACCCTCTTGAAATCTCCTGCAGGTTCTGAGCAGGGGAAAAATGGGGTCTCGGAAATGTGGAAGCTGCCTCAGTGGTCTGCTGATTCCGCTTGCACTTTGGAGTATAATTGTGAATATATTATTGTATTTCCCAAATGGGCAAACTTCCTACGCATCCAGCAATAAACTCACCAACTACGTCTGGTATTTTGAAGGAATCTGTTTCTCAGGTATCATGGTAAGTGTGACTTGGAGACTTGGGATCACAGCAGGGGGAGTTTTTAAAACTAAGAATTGCCTTGCTCCTTGTGGAAATAATGAATAATGGAAAAATCATTCTGCTACCCCTGGGGTCGGGATTTGGAAACTGGGTGAGGGTAGAGGGGCAGGTAGTCCATTAGGACTCGGAGAGAAGCCTTGTTTCCTCTAAGCTGCTCATTTGTGTTATTGCAGCAATGCAGGAAACTTGTCCTAATGAAAACTTGCGGGCCACTGGCTTGTAAAAATATTATGTCTTCATGAACCCCTGTGTGTCAGTTCAAGCTATATAATCTCCAGTGGCGCTGCTCTTTTCCAGAACAGATTTTCTCTCTGTACTCATGATTTCGCTGGGTTGGAGGTGTGTTAAGATAGCTTAGAAAAAGTAGAGACTTGGAGATTCAGACAAACTTGAATTAAAATCCAAGCTCTATCATTTGTGCAGTGAGACCTTGAGAAGTTGCTCCGTATCTCTGAGGGACTCAGTGTCCTCATTTGAAAAATGGGAATAATGACATACACTTTTTAGGGTAATTGTGGGGATTAAATAACAATTCACATATGACATGCCTAGGACAGAGACTGACATGTACTAGGTATCCAGTGACTATTGTGATTATAAGTATTTGTTGAAGGATGGGCTATATTATCATTAAATAGTCTGACATACCCCTAATCATGGAGGGTGTTTTTGAAAACTAAATCAAATCATCCATGGTGAGAATCTATGAATGTTTTTCTGATGACTTTGTGCCCTTTAAAAACAAACGGAGTAAATCATGTTGGCAACTTAGAGGAAAAGGCACTTTTCCTGATCATATCATTTCTAAAAACAGTACATTGTGCACTGTAAGCTTACTATACCACCAATAACATAAAAGAAAGTGCATTGCAATCTATCTGTATACCTTTGTGGGTGTTTAATCATTATAATATTTGAAGAGTTGGAAAGATTTCATTTAGTTACTATTTTGCATATTAAATTAGTAAACTTTAAAATATTCATATGATGTTATTGAAGTTGCTATGTGACAGATACATAATGAATGTTGGTGGTGATATTATAAATAAACGCAACCCTTTTGGAAAAGATTTTGATAGGCTATGTTAAGATCCATGAAAATGCTTACATCTTTTGACTCAGTAACCCTGAACCTGAGAATCTGAGGAGATAAGCCAAAATGAATAAAAAGATGTGTACACAGTCATTTATGGCAGTATTATTTATAATAGTAAATAACTAGACACATCTTAGCATAAATTATGGTACATGCACTTCATATGGTGACAAAAATCATAATTATGAAGATGTACAGCATGGAAAATGTATATTATTTTGTGTTAAGTGAAGAAAAGATGTACCAAAGTTGTGAATAATTATGAATACAACTATGTAAAATATACATATGTGGGAAGACACTAGGACTAAATACATAAAAACATGGGAGGTTAGTGGAATTTGTGGTAGTTTTCCCCCATTTTTCTTGAGCCCTCTATATTGGAGTTTTATTTTACAATCAAAAAAGAAAGCAGTTTCTCTTTCAACACAGGCGATGTCTGTGTTTCTCTTTTGACACAGGGTCTAAGTCAAAGTATCTCTACCAATATTGTTATGAAACCAGTTACTGTACCTGGATAACTGTATCTTATCTCATTATTGTTTCCCTCAATATGTAATTGTAATAAATGGAAGAGTTACAAAGCATTAATAAAGCTAAACCAGAACCTATTAAAATCTGCGGTAACTCATGGTGTTGAAAGGAAGGGAAGACAGGACTCTTCTGCTTATATTCATGTAAATTTTAGAAGGGGGAAAGAAATTGTTCTCTATTTTTCACTGTCTAGGAAACCTTGAAAAATGTTATTGTTACTACATCTAATCCTCTTAGGAGAAAGGAGAGGAATATCTATATAATTAAATGGGTAGATAAATACATGAAGGTTAAAGGAATTTGGAAACTGGAAATGCTGTCCACAAACAATAAAGTAACATTGAACTCAGCTTCAAAATTCAGTACCGAACAGAGAGAATGAAAGATAGGTGGAGAATTTCTCAGAAGCAATACATAGTCCATACCTGCTCAAACCAAAAAATGTAATAGAAAATAAATCCATGTTCTTTCCAGAACCTGAGCCCTTTGTCTACAATACCAAGACAAGGAAGTAGAATACATTGAATTATTCCAGTTTGCTGGTTTGATACAGACAAAACACTGGAAAATTTGATCCTGAGATGGTCTGGATGCATGGGAAATTGAACTTAATTCACTTTGCATTAAGAGATGTAGTTTCAGATTAACCATGCCTCTTACCTGCATTCCCTGGGGGCAGGAAATGAAGAGAGACTGACAAATGACAATCTGATGAATGACTTTCCTTAGCCCTCCACAAGTCAATGAAAAATGCAGGTTTACTGCCTACAGTGGCATTCCCATGTAGTAAATACAATTTACTTCTCTTTAATCATTAGTTTTTAATGACTGGTAACTATGATAATAATAACTAACAGTTCTCAATCACTTACTATGAATCAGCTTCTAAGTTCAAAATTTACATATATAAACTCACAGCAACCCAATGAGTGAGTTCTTAACACCATTTTAAGGGAAGGACTAGAGTTCACACAGCTAGGAAGTGGCTGAGCTGGGAATTGAACCCAGTTCTACTTGACCCCAAAGTCTATACTCTGAATCATTGCCCTCTGACTACAAGCATGAATGTAACTACTGTTCCATTTCTAATACTTCCTCTCGTCCTTACTATAGATGCTTATAGTAGCAGCAGTTCTTCTTGTCCTGGAGAGTGATAACAACTGTAAGTGCTGCCAGAGTGAAAACTGCAGCAAAAAATACATGGTAAGTGCAAGAGTATTTTGAGGACAGTTGAATGGGCTTAGTTTTCTTTCCTTTCACTCAGAAATATGAAAATATTGATGCTATTGTACCTCTCCATGATCCTTTCCATTCAGAACCTTACAGTTTACTCCAAAAACTCTCTTCTGTTTACAGTCATTCCTCTGCCTTTCTTCCAGAAAATTCAGCATTTAGAGACACATAAAATTAGAAAATAATACTGCCTTTTCCTAACTGGGTTCCTGTAAGTCTGTTTTTTCCCCAATTAATTTTATTGAGGACTGATTTACATAAATAAATGACATCCATTAAAAGTGTACCATTCCATGAGTTTTGACAGTTGAATATATCCACGAAACCACAATCACAAGATATAGAACCTTTCTATCATCCCCAAAAGATTAATCTTTGATCTTTTTTGTCATTATATTATAGAATAGTTTATAGTCTATATAAATAGAATCATACAATATTTGTCTTTTATATCTGGCTTCTTTCACCCAGCAAATGATTAGATTTATCCATGTGTTGGGTATATGTGATGGGTGTTCTTAGATTGGAACTTGAAACATTATTAAAATAGAATCAAGAGAGAATAATACAACCAAATTTTCTTAGCCTGTGCTCAGCAGGCAGGCACTGGGCTCTACCTCTCTATGATTATCCATCTCCTCTTCCTCCTCCTCATGATGAGCACCATTCATTCATTCATATTTGCATAGCATTTAATAGTTCTTTCACATTTACCCAATGAATCAGACCACCGCTACTCTTATTTCATACATGAGTCACCTTTGGCTCAAAGAGAACATGTGACTTTCTACCTAGGGGGAACTTAACCAGAGGTCTGCCAGGCATTCTTTGCAGGAGCGATTCCTTATCTTGGCTGCACATTTGCAAACATCAGGGAGCTTGGAGTTGGAATCCCACCCCCAGAGACCCTGGTTTAGTTCGTCTGAGGTGCAACCAGATTTTCATGTGCAGCTAAGACGGTATGGCCAGCTTTCTTTGGCTGATGTGTTTGGAAGATTAAATTAGTTATCTCAGCCAGTTGATCAGACATCCCCAACAATAGTAGCTGTTGCTATTTACTTATAGAAAATACTTAAGAATTGCCTAGGTGAAGGAATGGACAGATAAATTTTACTTGTGATATTCAGTGATTTTTCTAGAAGTAAATGTATGTACCATTAAGAATATAATAAAAATCAATGTACTCAATTTGCGTTAACTCACTATTAGCATCCCCAGCACAAATGGATTCAAGAAATAATGAAGTCTGCACAGTGTTTTATACGCAACATCGGTTGAGATGTCTGACATCTCAGTGAGAAGAGCAAAAGGCAGGGAGAGAGGACTCCCTGGGATCCCTAGGCTCTTTCCAAGCAGGCTCTCCAATAGGGGCCCCAACTCCCCCAGGAGCCAAACACCTGGGGGAAGTGCAAGAAGCCTGCCTAGTAGGCATTAGAGCGAAATTTCTATTCAGAGAAGAGAGGGAGCTGCTATCAAAGTCCAGCCTATTGTTACTATGACAAAATTGGGCAAAATTCTCAGGTTTCAACAGAAAGTAGAAATATGGAGTTTTATGTAAAACTTCTGATTATAAAATGTTGGCAATTAATTCTCATTTAAACTAAATACAGCATATCTTGCAGGTCAAATTTGAGTCTGTGCCAGTTTGTGACTTCTGAAGATTTGGATGGGAATTGAGGTCACCTAAAATTTGCTTTGTAAAGAAGAAGAAATTTTCCTCATCTCTATCTTTTTCCTTAACAAAAATGCATCTCTATTCTGCCTACATTTTTTTTTCACCAAAAACACACCCTACTTTTCTTGCATACAGAGTTGGTCCCTTATTACTTTAAGCAGTTTTAATTATGTAAATATTAATTAGAATTCTTAACTCTTAGAAACCTCAATTTCTAGTGAAAACTGGGAAGTAAGCAATTGAGAACTGTTACATATCAACTTTCTGTGGATTGGCAACTTCATGAGTATACATTTCATAATTTCTAGAAGTATACATTTCCTTATAGTATAACTTTTCGATGTGGCACAAGACATGTTTACTTACCGACCCAAATATCTTTAGTCTCTCTGTAATAGGAAGACAACGTAGGGAAATTATATTCAGTGACTGATGTTTCAGTATTTTATTTTATTTGGAAATGATCTAGATATTCAGTGAATTACCATCATTTAACTCAGCTTTAACTTACCATCATTTAACTTAATTTTAAGGTTATAACTTTATGGTTTCAAGTTACCAAAAACATTTTGGAAGCTATTTTAAAGCATACACATTTTACAAAACATAATCATTGTTTAAAAATTCACTTATAAACTTTTATCACACATTTATTTAATTCACTTGCTCTTCACAATTATGTTCAGATTACTCATGAAAATTTCATGAGACATTAGGCAAGATTAGCCATCATCTTAAGCTATTTTTCTTGTTAATAAGTTTTATAACATATATATATATTTGGCAAGCATCAAACATGGAAACAAAGTACCTAAAAAGTTGAACATATTACTTCTCTATCTCTTTTTAATTTTAACTGTTGTGTTTGATGTTTAGTAAGAAATTTAATTTTATCATATGCTTGTTTTCATGTTGGCTTTATAGTTTTATAATCTTAAACATCTAGTAGACATAAGTTTGTTTGACTAATAAACCTAGGTAGAAAAAAATGGCATGACTGCACTATATTTAGTGCTGACAACTGTAAAGATAGGCTTGTTGGTTTTTTTCCCAACAATTTTAAAACTACCTTTATTTACCAAAGATTAAGCAAGATGATATGAACTTAAAAAATTTTTTTTTGAATTAGTTTATTTCTGAGAGTTTTAAGAATACTTAATTTATACGAGTGCTCATTTATATCTACACCAATTTGAACAGAATCTTTTGAGGGATGTTATAAATTAATTTGGTAATACCATCTGGATGTAGAAAAAAATCACACATCTATAACATTCATATATAGACACAAATATTCAGGTAGATGCAAACAGACATCTAGTAGTTCTAGTAGTTTTTGCTTTTAATTTTAGCCTGTGTCAGGTACATTAATACAAGACTCACTAGCTTATAAAAGAATTCAAATTCTGTTTCTGTCAGATGGGTAAAGTTATAGTCACCTCCATTCAGATGGCTCAAGCTTTTCCTGATATTTGTGGAGAAGACTTTTAAGATTTGTAACTACCTTTGACAAGAAATCTTATGGAGGCTGTGGACTAGATTTTGGGTAAGGGAGATTTTATAGCAGCTTGTATTTTTTAAGGCACTTCTCTTCCCTTTTTTTAAAATTTCAGTTTCAGATGGTTGTAGGCAATGTTTTAGTTATCTCTGGGATGTTTACATTTCAGAGACATAGATTTCTATATTCTAGATTTAGAGCTGTGTGTCTTTGGGATGTTTTCAAAAATTGTTCCACAAAACTTTTGGCATATTTTCTTTTCCTCTGAGTTCAGAGATCCATTTTAGCTTAGGAGAGAAGCCTTAATAAAAAATTTTCTACCAGGCTCTGAATATCAACTACCAACCTGGCCAACTTCTGACCATAGGACTCCTTTAAAAAAATTTTTTTTCAAATATTTAAATCAAAGATATACCTGTCAAGTGACTTAAAACCAAGGCCAGTAATTAACTTTGGATGCAACAGGCATGCACAAAATTTGCAGCCCTCTCAAGATCAGAACCACTTCCAAAGACAGCCAAAAGGAAAGAAGATTTAGACAAGCCCTCCTGAAAGCTGGCAGCAGTCCATGGGAAGATGCTAGCCACAAGTGGGGTGCAAACCACAGTTCTGTATGGCCATATTTTGGGGTCCACCATCTGACAGTTGGTGGCCTGCACATACAGGAACTGACACTGTGTGCCCTTATAGGCAGACAGCCAAGCCCAGTTCTTGGGACACAAAACAAGAGACAAACAGGAAAGTAATAGCTGTTCCTAAGAAGGAAAGGATCAGTAGCCGATGGGCACCCCCAAACCAAATTTTAACCAGAGTCAAAATCCAAAGAACAAATTCTTACAAATGTTTTTCTCCTGCCATTCTAAATATGGAAAGGAAATGACCCTCGCCACCTTCACTTGGCCAATTTGTACAGAGGGACATACAAGAGACTGGTGTGGTGAGGACTCTCCTGCCAGCAGTCTTTCAGAGGTCCAGGATCTCTAATTGACGCTTCCAGACTGAGCAAGGTGCCTCCAGCCGATGGTGCCCCACGTTGGGTGCCAGAAATTGTAGAGAAGAAAAGATTTCACTCGACCTTTTTAGGGGCCCTGGCTGGGTCTGGAAAATTAAACTGACAATGACAGCTTAGCAGGAGAAAAGCCTACAAATCATATTGAATTTTTACATGCACCTGGGAGCTTTCACAAGAGAATGAATACCTGAGGAAGGGAGCAGAGCAGCATGCTTCTCTACCTTTTAGACAAAGAAACAATAAATTTGTAAAGAATTGGCCAAGACAGAGGTGTTTGAGTTAGTGGTAGTAAACATGAAGAAGAACTATGGAGATGAAGTTTCATTTAACAAGGTCTGCTTATACAGACTTCTTGGCCCCAAATTCCCTGTCTTCAGTGATAAGAATGCACTCCTTCCTCCTGGTGGAGAGAGGGAAGCTTGTACAAGGAAATGCTGTGACCTGTTTCAGAGAAGAAGCGTGAGGGGCTCAGGGAGGTCAGGGTGACCTTGCTCCTTCTACTGTTTTCTCAACACTCCTTCAGCTTAAGCTGCTCCACACACCCTGACCTGAACCCTACCAATGTCTCGGTTGCTACCCATTCCTCTGTAGAGTCTCTTCTGTCAAGATTTGATGGGTGGTTATCCCTTGAAAATAAATATGGCTAAATAAGGGCACCTGAAATAATAGATAATATTTTGATCATACTTTACACTTTTAAAGTACTTTTTATATCCATCGTGTCCTTTAATTTTCGAAATAGTCCTGATACCTAAAATCACCTACATTTTACAGAAAATGGAGCTGCGATTCTTAATTCCACTTTATTTTGAAGCTTACCTTGATTGTGCAATGGTATCCACTCACTGGATCGTAATTTGTGTATGTGCACACACATATGTAACCTGCTCTGCTTGCCAGTTTCCTTAAATGAAGAAATTGTTCACTGATCTTCCCAGTGAACCGTTGAACATACATTCGGCAAACAAAGAGCTCAGTCTTTTCAGAACAGCCTTCTTCCCTTTCGAAGACAGAGCATGGTGGATAGGTGAATGTTCTTTATAAAGTATAACAGTATGATCTCCTATTAAGAAAAAAGTAGCTCTCCTTATTTCATCCCCTGTGAGCCAAAACTCTCTGAATATCGATATAAGAAAAATAATTTGAAAGCTCTTAATCATATGCAAAGATGACAATGAAACGATTAGTATCAAATAGGAAAAAAGCAGAATTATTCTTCTCTTCTTTGCACTTTTAAATCTTTCTTCCAATTTTCCATAATGAGCGGGTATCCGTGTTATCATCAGTAAAATAATTGTAAACAAAGAAGCACTATCTGAGATAACTTTTGTCCCAAATATTGCAGGTCTTGATTTTTCTGCTTCCAGCATTGGAGTTTATCACCGCCTGGCTACTGCATGTTTCTGTTTCGCTCCTACTATCACTTGTACAACTTATTTTGTAAAGCTAAATTAAATTTTCTTCCAAATCAAACTACCCTTCTTGCCATCCCCATTTCTGTCTCCTTTTCATCCAAGGCCCAAGGTCTGGGATTTTTTTTTTCAATCCATCTGCAGATAGTAATTTCCCCATCAGTGTCTTTACCTCCATTGTATATCTTTGTCTTCTGGATTTCATTGTCTCCGTGTAATCCTTATTTTTAGGCTCTCTCATGCCGGGCTGGTATGCCCCACTGCCAGAGCAGCCTTCCAAAATTACATATTGGCTCATGTCATTTCTTTCCTCCAAACCTAACTACATGGTTTGCTGGACAAGGAGTTATTCCAGGTCTAGGGGAGCATGAATTTAAAATGAGCTTAGGACATCCTGTGCCAGGAAGCACGGAAGTGTTCAAAGCATGGCTGGAATCTGTCAAAGGGCACAGGAATTGGCTTGAAGGGATGTTCCCACTGCCCATATATGGACCATCTGAGCATCTTTATGAATTTGAACTTATTGAATTATAATATCCATGAGTCTGCAGTAATACAGGAGAGGATACAGGAGAGTCATATAGGAAAGGCAGAGAGAGAAATGAGAAATAGAAGTTGTTCTGGGCAGACAAATGATAGCCTGTAAAATGCAGAAGAAATGATAAAATTAGAAAAGCAGCACACTGCAACCAATTATTGTGATAAATGGTGATCAGTAGAGATGAAGATCATCAATGATGTTAAACCCATCCGTCAAAATGTTTTTAGGGACAGGATATGACACAGTCTCAAAGTTATGATCTCAGGAATTATTGACCAATTGCAAACTGGAAAATGTACATTTAAAAGATCTGAAGGACACCACTTCAACCAAGATATCAAACTTAGTGTCACCAATAGTAATGAGAGGCCTATAATATACCCACACCACTTAAGTTTTCTTGCCAAAATATTTAACCCAAGTCTGGTTGTGAGGAAACAAACAGGAAAGCCCCATGTAGGACATTCTACAAGATAACTGGCTGAGATTTTCTTCAAAAACAATTTAATATTCTGAAAAACAAAATGACAGCAAGACTAGTGTAGATAAAAAGAAACTAAAGAAAAATGAACCTTGTTCATAAACCTTCATTGGATCCTGCATGAAAACTTCAAAACAGTTTAGAATAACAGTATTTTTTTTCTTGGGGGATAAGTGCTGGTATGTTTTGGAGTGAGATATCACAATGTCTGCAACAACTTTCAAACGGTTCAGCAACATAGGTGTGGAAATAAATAAATGTGTGTGTGTGTATAATATCCATACAGAGAAAGAGCAAGTGAGAATGGTAAAACATTCATAAAAGGTGAATCTCGGTGAAAAGGGTATATAGAGGTTCATTGTACTATACCTTCAGATTTGTGTAGATTTGAAAAATTTGCTTATGGGGGAAAAGTCACTGGTCCTGAAGGATGAAGTCCAGCCTCCGTCACCCAGCATTCAAAGCTGTCTTCTGCCCAGATCTGCCGAACTGCACTCACTTCAAAGTGACTCCAGGGCTGGGTTGTGTCCTAGCAACCCTGCTTCCCAACATGAGCATCGTGTCAAACTGGTCTCAAGAACTTCTCCCCTCTACTCCTCAGTAGGACCCCCCCTTAGATCAAACTGATCTACTTACTCTCATAACTCTGCTTGTACCAATTTGCCTGGGAATGTGGCTCATTCTCTCTACTCAAATGAAAACAGCCCCCTCCCTTCAATCCCACCCTCACTTGAATGTAAATATGACCATCTAGGCTAACACCTGATATTTCCCTTCATAGTCCTGTATGTGAAGATATTCAAATATCATCTCCATAAGAGAAAACAGGGATCATAGCTGTGATTCTTAAAGAACTCACTCTACCTAGAAAATAATATCTTCAATGAAGAAGTATAGAGTGATTGGTTACATTCCTTTATAGTATTTATGAATGATGTCATCATTATTTTGATATCAAAATTCCAGGAAAAAAAAGAAGACATTTAGTAAATAAGTTAGTTTCCTGTGTGGAATGCCAAACAAAGTCATTTAAAAAATAATTTTAAGATGAAGTGGGTTTGGATTAAATGCTTTTGTTCTTACGTGGACATTTGGTATTACATAGACCGCAGAAGGCTTGGGTGAGTTTGGGAAGGTACCTATCTGATCATGAATCCACATATGCTCATGTCCCCTTCTATGGCACTAACTTCCTTCTTCTATATTTAATTTAGACACTGCTGTCGATTATCTTTTCTGCCCTTGGAATTGCTTTCTCTGGATACTGCCTGTCCATATCTGCTCTGGGCCTTGTTCAGGGCCCATACTGCCACACTCCCAATGGCTGGGAGTATGCTTTTGAAGACACTGCAGGACGGTAAGGAATAATTCCCCAGATCAAGGGAATCTGAAAACCGGAGGCACCTGGCTTCCTGCTCATATTCATTTGTGTGATCACGTTACCAGAGTGCAGAATTTTCCTATTAGTTTACTGATATCGGTTTGTTCCTACACAGATCTTTGTTTAGATGATTTTTCTCCAGTTTTTAATGCCACATGCATTCACTATTTTGAGGCTGTCATGGAGATATCCGAAGGGGAGGCGTGCATGTGTCTCCCATACTTCAGAACAAAGCTTCGTGGTTATTATGTTCTGGTGACCACCGGAGCCTGGGACTTCAGTGGCTCTAGAAATTCCATCTCATTTTGTGGCCAGGTTGGACTTGTGGTCTGTGACAGAGGTGAAAGAGCTTGGCTGGGAGAGAATCACAGTGCCCTTGGCTGGTGCCCCCCGGCCATACTGTCAGGGGTTATGCAGAGAGAGAACCTGGCAGGGTGAGCAGCAAGGTGCAGTCTGAGATCCAGAGACATGACTAAGTACAGGAGCTGTAGAAGGAGCCAGGAGCTTAGCCAGCATGTGTTGCAGGAAAGTCTAGGGAGGCCCCCTTGTTCAGAGGACTGGTAGCTCGGTCAGGTGTTGACAGACCCAGTCTTGGATGGCAGAACACCTCACACTGGCATTGTGCTGGGTTTAATGGCCCACCAGTGCCTTCAGAGACAGGTTAGGAGGTAGCAGGGCCCAGATGGATACAGAGGAGGTCCCCTGAATCTCTCCCTGTCTGGTCCTGTGCTCAGAATTCTAATGGAATAAAATGAGGGAGTATCTGGGGAAATTACAATTTCTTCTCGATTCCCCATGTCTGGCTCTATTCAAGGCCCACATCTCTTTGAGGTCTTCCATGGTCAGGCCTGCATGGCCAAACTGCTTCTGCGTGCACAGCTGCCTTATTCCCAAAGCTTTTGCAAGATGCCACGTGATGTGAACAGAGATCCCTCATGTCATGAGAACCTAGAAGATAACCTCAGGCCTTTCTGAGCACTTGGAGACATTCTTGTGGGATTGAAGGGGCTCAGAAAAGGGAACTCCAAGGTAGAATGCCGCACTGAGTGCAAAAAAAAAATCATTTTTATGCCGTCAGCTCCTGAACTTTCCCCCACTCCAAACCAAGGAAGCCTCCTCTTTCAATGCAAAAATCTCAAGCTGCCATATGCCTGTCCATTACTCCTTTAAAGTTGTCCTTGACGTTTGTATTCACCTGATTATAGCTACATAAAAATGTCTGCAGGTGAAATGTTGTTTGGAGGCCATGACGGGAAGCTAAATCTCTTGTCTCCTAGAGAAATTTTTAAGGCTTGGAAAATTCAGGGTGGAACACACCTTAAAGCTTAAGTTACACAAATAAGATATTCACTTATTCAACAAATATTTGGAGCACACATTAAAGCTGAAGTTGCACAAACAAGCTATTCATTTATTGTGCATTTATTCAACAAATATTTAGTGAGCACCTACTATGTCCAGGCCTTGAATTAGGTGCTAGAGAATAAAAGATAAATTACACAGGTTGCCTTCCCTCTAGGCACTCAAACAGACCTGACAGAACATTCTACTGAGATGGAAGCCTTCATGTGAACATTGCCTTTGGAATACAGGCCTTCAGTGCTATGGATCCAGGCTTCAGTCTCTTGTCTCTTACGTACAAACTGTGTGACCTTAGAAAAATACCTAGATATATCTGAGCCTCTCTAAATTGAATATAATAATCATTTCTACCTCACAGAATTGAGAATTAAATGGAAGTAAAACACAAATTAGATTTAACAAATTATCAAAACATGCCAGATTTTATCACTAACATCATTACCCTGCATTTTTTTTTCTTTTTTGCCATATAATGTCCTCTATTTTCCAGTTGGCCAATAGGTCCAGCCACTGGCATGGTAACCAGAGAGGATGCTGAGTGTTTCATTGAACAGGCATTTGTTGATCTTTGTAATGCACCAGGTATTGCCTTGGGTCTTAGACCTGGCTCTTCAGAGATGAATAAATCACAATAGTGCTCTTAGAGTACACAGTATAGCATACAGATACAGATACAGATTCAGACAGAATTACAACATACCAGAGTAAGTGATGAGGTTACATCTGTGTATGCAGATTGTATAGGGAGTGAGTGTCAGGGAAAGGTTCTCCAGTCATTCTAGACCTCGCTAGTGCACTTAGGACTGTCTGTGGTTTATAAGAAGAAATAGTACCAGAGCCTGGAAGAAAAATAGAAACCCTGCAAATCATCCGGCTTTTAAGTGTTGGATGATCTGTGCAGAGCTTCTGAGACCAGTCCAGGGTAAGGCTCTGAAAGGGGTTAGCTTCCATGGTGGCTGAGACCGAGTTAGAACTGTGAGGGCTTAGGAACTGGGTCTAGGGAAATGGTAACGGGAAATCACAACTGTATCATGCTTTACAGAGTCCAGCTCATTTTTACATACCTTTTACTGAATATTCAATACTGGCCCTTGGGTTAGATATTTTAAGTTCATTGTCCAAACAAGACCATGGCGGTCAGTGACGTAAAGCCCCTCGCCAAAGAACCCGCATATGCAAGTGTTCCTGCCCCATACTAGGTGCTCTGCTACTGGAGACCGAAGGGCCACTGGCGTTAGCGACATCTAGAAATCCTCAGAGTGCTGCTGACTGTCCTGGAGCAGAGAGTGTAGGAAATTAAGGAAGGAAAGAGGGAGCTAAAGGAAGGGATAGGGGAGAAATAGAGGAGGGATAGGAAGAGGTCATGGTGGTGGTGGTCACCGAAATACAGAATTCACCCTTTTTCACCACAGACGACAGTGCCCAGGCCACTTGGCTGGTATCCAGAGTGGCTGAATCATTGTCTTTAAAAAAAGGCAAGATATTTATAAACAACTCTGCCCAATAAATAGGTTTGATTGTTTTCATTTGGGGAATTTTTTTGAAGAGACCAGTTCTGCATTTAGATGTAGTGGAACAGAGAGGGTGTTGGTGACCCTTAGAGGTGCAAATGGCCATGGCCGACCTGGAAGTGAGCAGAAGTCAGTCAGGTAGATTCAGTGTGGTTTCAAGAGTATCTTGGGAATGGTTTAAGTCTCATAATCCTGTCCTAAACCAGACTCATTGGACCGTTCAATCTTTTGCATTCTTACCCCATAATCTAACTCTTCTTCACAGCTGCAGTACTGCCATGTTCTACAGCAGAGGTTCTCTGCACTGTGGACCCCAGAACAGCAGGAACAGCATCATCTGGGAAGTCAGAAATGCAAAACCTTGAGCCCCAGGCAGATCCTTTGAATCAGAAACTCTGGGGTGGGGCCCAGCAATCTGCATTTCACTTGCCTCCAGATGATCCTGATGCATGCTCAAGTTTGAGAACTGCTGCTCTGAAGGGCTTTGTGACAGATCCTAGGAATTTCTAGCAGCATTTCTCTTTGCTCTTCTGCCACATGCCTGATTTTATTTCCAGCATAAGCTCAGCCTTGTCCCTGCCATCCTGAGCTAAGTTCCGGACTCCTAAGGAATGGGCAACCTTTACCTCTCCTGCTATTGGCATGTGCTGTCTTTCATTTCTATTGAAATTTTTCAGTATGTGTCTTGCCTTCTAAACAAGTTAGAATTGTCTCTGAGGCAGGCACCACGTTTATAATAAGCATAACCCAGTGTTATGCATATTATGTGTTCAGTATATTTATCTGAATGATTTCTTAAAATATGTTAATTAATGTGTAATAGTATTATGCATATTAATCATATATATGAATTTCACAAACATAGAAATACCTGTAGCTTTCTTCCTTGGACCAAGAATTTAAGCCTGACCATGGGTCTTACCAGCCATTTCTGTCCTTTCTCTCAGGTTCCTCACAGATTCCAGCATATGGACTCAGTGTCTGGAACCTGCACATGTAGTGGAGTGGAACATCATTTTATTTTCCATTCTCATAGCTCTCAGTGGGCTTCAAGTAATCGTTTGCCTCGCCAGAGTAGTCATTCAGTTATCCAAGATACTGTGTGGAACCTATTCAGTCATCATCCAGGTAACAGACCACCACTGGCACCTGTACCTCCTCTATTTTACCCCTACTGTCCAGGTCTCAGTGAGTCTTGTTGAAAAGATTTTTAGAACTCCTTCATCTTCTGTACATTCCTACTGCCCTTGTCTTTATTCAAGCTCTAATATCTCAGTTTTTTCTGGTATTCCAATGTGTCTGTTGGCTTGTCTGAATGGACTGAGTCAATGGAATAACTGTAAAATCTGCATTCCACATTGAACAATGAAAACAGTACAAGTGCTATGAATAAGCAAAATTTCAGTGCTCTATGGAGAAATAACCCAAAGCACAAAGAAGTTTTATCATTTATTCAGAATTTCCCTGTTCATAAGATAATTGAAGGCTCACAACATTTTTCCATTGAAATAATTTCTCTTTTGAATTATGCTGCTACATTTAATTAATAACCTTCTTTATACTGAATCATTAGCAACTGCTTCTGCTTCATCTGCTTAAACACTAATGTTAATTTAGTTATGGCTGAAGCTTCCAAACTTTTCCAGCAAGTCTAGAGTGAAAACAATAAGTTACCGTGTATCTTGTTTAATAACATATAATGTTATTACATATGATATAACATATAATAACATATAACATATAATACCTTTCCTAGTGGTTTCAAATAGATATTTTTCTATTCAATCATGTTTTCAATATAAGTATAAGTTTAAGTTGTCACCTGTATTATGAATCATTAATCAAGCTAAATTTACTACTTTACTGACTTTATTTTTCCTTTTTTAATAGCCTGGAATTATTTGAAGAAGGACAAGAATATTTCCAATCATCAAGATATGGCCAACTGTCTCATATCCACTGTGTAGACTGGAGGGCAATATTCAAATGATGGTATTTTCATCATTTGGTGTTATTTTGCCCATTTGTGAAATCTGCTAGTAATTACAATCATGCCACCTTTCCATTTAGAACTTTTTTCTAAATGACATGTGTCAGAAACTCAGAAATGTTTACACTCTTTGATCAAACAAATCCATTTCCAATCTATACTATGGGAATAAATAAGATACAAATGAAACTTTATACAGATACATTGCAACATTATTTAATATTCTGGAAAATTAGAAATACCACAAAGCCTCTTTCAGGGGAAGGATTAAATAGTGGTACATTAGTGATAATAGAATATAATCATTACAAAATATTATATAGTCATTACACATGAAGTTTTAAAGATTATGAATACAGCTCTGTGAAAAACAGATTACAAATTTCTGCTTACAGTATAAGCATTACTATCTAAAATAAACAAACAAAACTCCAGATAATCAAAATTGAGGATCAAAAGTAAATCTAGAAGGATTTACACAAATACCAACTGTGGTTGATTTTTGGGTCACAGGTGACTGTTCTTACTTTTCTCTGTTTTCTAAGTTTTATTATGTTTTACAAAACTTGTATTTTTACTATGAAAAACTTCTGCTGTTTTTCCAAACTTTAAAGATATGTTTTTTCCACTTTTTCCAACCTCGAGTATCTGTCAACATCAAAGAGTAACATTTCAGTGTTCAGTGAGGAAAGTAGTGAGATAAATAAGCCCAAAATAGTTTTATATAAACTTAGGCATTCTAACTGAGCTGCTGGTCATCTTTTCTTACTTGTGGTGATGAGTGTGGTGGCCATAGTCTTAGCCTTGAAATAAATGAGCAGATGGGATTAGAGAAGGTGCACATTGACCAGCTGATACCTGTGTCCTGAGGAGTTACTACTACCTTATTTATAAAAAACAATTTTTTTATTAAGGTATCATTGATATACAATCTTATGAAGATTTCACACAAGCAACATTTTGGTTACTACATTCACCCATATTATCAAGTCCCACCCCACACCCCATTGCAGTCACTGTCCATCAGTGTAGTAAGATGCTGTGAAGTCACTACTTGTCTTCTATGTGCTATACTGCCTTCCCCATGACCCCTCTACGTTAAGTGTGCTAATCATAATACCCCTTCATCCCCTTCTCCCTCCCTCTCACCCTCCCCACCAGATCTTTCCCACCCCTCCCCTTTGGTAACCACTAGTCCCTTCCTGGAGTCTGTGAGTCTGCTGCTGTTTTGTTCCTTCGGTTTTGCTTTGTTGTTATACTCCACAAATCAGGGAAGTCATTTGGTACTTGTCTTTCCCCACTGGCATATTTCACTGAGCATAATACCATCTAGCTCCATCCATGTTGCTGCAAATGGTAAGATTTAAAAACAAGTTTTTTTTTTAAGTAAAACATTTATAAACCATCTGCCTATACTTACCATGACCTCTTTGAGGACAGCAGCCATGTCTCATATTTTCCTGTCATCCATAGGTCCAGCACAGATGGGCACAGTAGACACTCAGGTGTTGGATATTCAGGGCAGGCCTTTCTGGTCTCCGCGGCTGCTCTGCCGAGCGCCTGTCTCCATCGTAGGTCCGCTGGGCTCTAACACTTCTGCCACTTCCCCACTCTTCCCTCCATGGACGCTGTTCACATGCTCTGCCAATACCTGTTCTTGCCAACGCTGGGCTGTAGCCTGGGGGAAAAGGGAGAAATGCCTCTCACCTTTGTGCCGGAACTGCCTGCAGCCTCCTTTAAGCATAGCCACCCAGTCCACAGCTTTTGCTGAAGCAAGCCTCTTGCAAGTAAGCCATACTGTGGACCCCATGACCCCCTGCCCTTATCCCAGAACCAAGCTACGGGCAGCCAGGTGCCACCCCACTGGCTCTGAGTTAGCCTAGAGTAAAGCAGGGTTCACACCACATGGGTGGTCGATCTTGCTTGAGAGTTTGAACTGGGAAGTGAAGAATGGGCAGCCTCGGCATTGCTATCAGAAAGCTCACTGAAGGACGAGGAAGAACACCAGCACACGGAGAGTATCTGATTACTCCGTCCAGCCCAGAAGCTCATCATATCTTGTGCCTCTTGACCAGTTCTCCCAAAGACTCCTCAGCCCTTTTGTATACAGACTTCCAGTGGGTCAACCCCAACAGTGAGTTAGACACTTGCAGATTATCTTAATATTGTTTAGATTCCATATGGTACCATACGAAGGGTGGACCATGAATAGACGTCAGCTCAGTAACTCCATCATAGAACTGGAAACATTGCCTAACAACAGGGGCACAGTTCAACGCAGTACAATCTATCTATTAGTAAATTAAATATTACCACAGCCACCAAAAATTTTGTATTTAAAGAGTATATGTTGACGGTGTAATTTTAAGTAAAAAAGCTGGATGCAAATCCATGTGTCCAGTTGAGCCCACATTTTTACACAACTATATAATTCCATGTAGACATGTACAAACCTTCAGATACATAGAAAAAATGATGGAAAAAATACCAAAATATTAATAGTTAATAATTACTGCCAAATGATGGGGTTTTATGAATTATATTTCTTTTCTTTACATTGTTCTCTATTTTCAAATTTTCCTTTGAAAATGTACTTCTTGAATAATGAGAAAAAATTCAAAAAGCAAGTGCTTTCTGTAAAATCCACTTGAGTTTAAAACAGGGAAGAACTAGACATGAGGGTATGTGAGTGATAGCCCTTTTTCTTACCCTCTTTAGAAAATATTCTTTCCATTTTATAAATTCTCAGAGAGCCTGAGTATTGCCAGCTAATCCTAATTGAGAATGAGTTCTATTTTATGCACAGATGCTCTTACATTTATTATTTCCCTCTTATTTTCCTTGCTTCTATCTCATTGTACCTTTCCAAACTTCTTAAATGCCTACCTTACTAATTTACAACATGTCTTCCCAAAATAAACATTAAGACTGCATTTTTTTTTCTAAGTACCACTTTGGCTTCATCTCACAAGTTTTGAAATACTGTATTTTCCTTATTCAGTTATAAATATTTCCTCCTTTTCCTTATGATTTATTTTTCCTTTTGTGAGTTTTTAAATGTGCTTTAAAATTCCCAAATACATGAGCTGGTGTTGTGTTTTCCTTATCTGATTTCCAACTTCATTGTATTGTGATCATAGAATGTGGTCTATATGATTCTGATATTTAGGACATTTTAAGAGTTGCTTTGTGCTAATATTTGTAAATATTCTATGTACTTTCAAAGTATGTGTTTTCTGCAAATATTAGATGTAAGATTCTTTATGTGTCCATTAGATTAAGATGTTAATTTTGTAATTCAGATCCTCAACATCTTTCCTTTTCAGTTGGTTGCTCGATCTATGAGTTTCTATGAGGACTGAATGAATGTATATATGTAAAGCAATTTGTATATGTACCTCAGAAAATAGTGTTTGGCACATGGATGCAATTTGTAAATGGCTTATAACATAGTGGTTTAAAGATGTATTCTGGAGTCAGATTGTTTAGATTCAAATCTGGGTTCTGTCTTGCCTGTGTGGCTTACTATATCTGTGCCTCAGTTTCTGAATCTGTAAAATGGGAATGATGGAGTTGTGACTATTAAGTGAGTTGGTACATGTAAAGCTCTAAGAACCAGGGCGACTTAAATCAGGACCTAGGTGCAGTTGGAGCAGATTTGGGATGGCCAAGACCTGAAGATGCCACAAACACAACAGAAGGGAAAGGGGATGGAGGAAGGTCATGGGGTGATAGGGACAGCACAGGGTCAGAAATCTGGAAAAAGAAAGAAGACAAAGGTGAAAGGTAAGTATTGCTAGGCTGGACAAAGTGCAAGATAACCCACACTTCCTTTCATCACATGCCTGGAGAATGTGAACATCACAGCCATCAGACTCAGGCCCCTAAACCCCAGCCTCTGGCCTGTCACACTGGAAAGCTATGAGGAACTGGGGCAATTCAGGGTTACTATTATAAAAACCCAACTATTTATATTTAGAAAGACTCCTGCCAGTTCTGCTTCCTGCTTTGCAAGATGAGGCTGAGGATTAGAACTAGATTCCAGCCCTGGAGGAACTGGGATATCTGGCAGGAAACTAATGCAAGGAGTCAAGCTTGAGTGTGTCTAACAGGGCAGGCAGAGCAGGATATACAGACCAGGCCACTGAGATCTTTCCACTAGATGTGGCACCACGCTACCCAGGTCAGAGCCAACCCATGAGTGACCCAAAGAACATAACCAATTCAAGTCAAGTGCTTTTTCTGGGTTAATATGAAAACACACATACATGTGCACACACACACACACACACACACACCCCTAATTTCACTGCAACCTAAAAACACACTAAATTTACAACAAAGTGTTTTTTTATGAAGACATAAGCCAACAAACATGAGGAGATTAGGGGAAGAGATAAGAGCAATAAAAATCTGGAAGCTACATAACATACTGATGAGACCTAACTGACCAAACCAACTCAAGAAACATGGAAATCGCAGGCCATCTGAGGGAAAGCTGTGGGCCAGCCTGATTTACACCTCAGAATCCTCACAAGGCTCCCAAGTGGAGAGTACCAGATGCCTCTGGAGGTGGCAGTATAGGAAGACCACCAGAAGGACTGGGTGGGCTGAATCCCTTTTCCCCCACTGGATAGTGGCAGACATGAAAGTTTATTTTCAGAAAGGGTAAAATAGAGGGTCTCTGAATTGGATGGACTAGATTCACCAAAGCTGTGGATACTTTATGGTACCAGACCCAGAGAAGTTAAGTGACTCATACACCTTCAATGATGAATGCTGAGGCACAGCTTCCTCCAAGGCCTCTTAACTCACTCAGATCCCAGAAAGCTAGTAGCCAGGACTTAACTTCCAAATGGAACCTCTTCATAGGGAGTCTGGCCAGTGTAAGAGGAAACACTCAGATATGACTGGGTAAGCTAAATAATAGCCTCCTAAAATGTCCATGTTGCAGTCCCTGGAGCCTGTGAATATGTTACCTTGAAATGTACTTTGCAGATGTGATTAAATGAAGGATCTTAAAATGGGGATATTATTATGGATTATCCAGGTAAGTCCAATGTAATCACAAGGGTCTTATAAAAGGGAGGCAAGACTCATTGTTCCAATAGCTAAGATATGGAAGCAATCAAAGTGTCCATCAATAGATGAATGGATAAAGAAAATATGCTACATATATATAATGGAATAGTATTCAGCCATAAAAATAAAGAAATCCTGCCATTTGGGACAACATGGATGGACTTAGAGGATATTATACTAAGTGAAATAAGCCGTGTAGAGAAAGACAAATATCATAAATTTCACTTATTTGGGAAATCTAAAAACAAAATAAGACAAGAAAATGAACAAAATAGCAATAAACTCACAGGTACTGATAAGTGACTGGTGGTTGGCATGGTCAGGGTTTGGGATGGGTGGGTGAAGTAGGTGAAGGGGATAAAGAGGCATAAAATCTCAATCATAGTATAAATTAGTCATGGGGATGGAAGTGCAGCATGGAGAATATAGTCAATAGTTCTGTAACATCTTTTTATGTTGACAGTAACTACACTAGCTGGGGTGAGGATTTCATAATGTATAAAAACTGTCAAATCACTAGGAAAGAGGGAAAAAATAATTCCCTGGAAAGAGAAGTTTCTGTGTTCATAAATTTAAAAAGAACATTCATAGAACAAAATAAGACCTCCAGGGAATTAAAAATAAGATAGTATAAATGAAAAACTCAGTAAACAATTTGGAAGATAAAATCAAGGAATCACTCAGCGACTAGAGCAAAAAGAATAAGAGGTTTTTTTAATTGGAGCAAAAACTAAGAAAATTAGAAAACCAGTCAATCTACAAAGTTCAACACCAAACAATAAGTTCTAGAAAGAGAAAACAGAGACAATGGAAGGAAGAAGTCATTATAATATAAGAAAATTTCATGAAACTGAAAAGCACAAATATCCAAATAGAAACAATATACTAAATGAAGTTTTGCAGCCTCCCAACT